ATATATATATATATATATATATATATATATATATATATATATATATATATATATATATAGTTGTGTATCCGAAGTGACAGTTTGGAGCCTAAAATCGAGCCTCGAGTCGTGTCATCATTGATCCTTATCGTTAAGAAATTATTATCGAAATTATCGAATTTTGCAAGAGTAGCTCTAATGTGAAGAGAGAACCAGGCAAAAGTACCTGTAAATTCTAACATTTCCTGCATGTACTCTTGTTTATTGTTCTTCGATGCTAAATGTACCTCTCCATTATTTGCAAACACACTGCACAGCCCGGACAAATCAGTATACGAATAAAAATGGGTTCACATTGCAAAATGCAACGCGGTACGCATTGCAAATGCACTATGTTGCAAAGTTAATAAACACCGAGCCATAAAAATCAGACAGCGAAATTACTTTGAATATTGTATCCTTTCCTCTAATACTCGGAGCGACGAATAAATAAAAGATACGAGAGGAGATGAAAGAGTGATGCGCGTATTAATACTGCGCGATCCAAGAGGATCCTTCCAAGTACGTACGTACTTACAAAGGAAGTAATACAAGAAAATAATCATCGCGCTGGTTTACAAAGGAGCGACGTTATAAGCCCAACAGCATATCGCTGTTAATAAAGTGAAATCTCTCTCTTTCCGCTAAGATCGAATAAAATCAAATAAGACCGAGCTGACGGAATTACCGAGAAATATTGTAGCTTAGTGAGAAGCCGACCGGAGTCTAAAGGAGGTCACGAAGAAGCGAAGGGAACGCTTAATTGATTAGAAAGAATATTTCGCAGTCTATTCGCGACTCTTACTAATGACTTTTAATTGAATTCGGAGTTTCTTCTCGCCGCAGAATAATCAACCCCAAATAAACTCTCAAGATAGTATGGCGTGAACAATGGTCGTACGCAAACGTAAAGAAGCAGCATGAATCGATGTCCCAGCCAGTACGTAGCGCGCGTATTTGAGTATTTGCATATCGCGACGCAACAGATATCGCACAAATATCGCATCTCGCATTCAAACTGGTAGAGTAATAGCCAGTATTTTCAACATTCTTGCATGGAAATATTAAGAGCTGTATGGAGATTTACAATTTATTCATTGTTTATTATCATTTTTTTGTTTATATTTTAAATCCCACACCTATATTCTATACACCTTAAGGGAATGCTTTAAGGGAAAATTTGAAAACTTTACCAACAAAATACTAATTTTTTTCTGCAAAATTCACATCGTATTGGTTGGACAGAATTGCAATTGCTTTTAATAAAAATACGTACAAAAATTAATTGGATAATTGCTCAATATATATATATATATATATATATATATATATATATATATATATATATATATATATTAGAGAAACAATAAAAAATTTCAAAATTATTGAGGCGTCAATTAGCATAAATATTTTTCTAATACGAAAGTTATGCAGCTTCTACACTACCGTCCATAAGTATTTGCTCACTTCGTAAATTTTAAACTATTGTAAGGTAAAAAATTAAGAAATTTTAAGTGGAAAATATTTATATTCACAAACGTATAAAGTAATACACAACATGAAAAAACGAATATTAAAAGTCTATAGTTTGACCTCGTCAATGTGTCCACCTTTGTTTTTAATGACAGCTTTGCAAATTTTCGGTATCCTTTTTAACAGTTTAAGTAATGTTTCGATTGTGATTTTATTCCACATGTCTTCGAGCATCCTCCACAATACTTTCGTGGGGCAGTTTTCGGACGCTTCGGTAGAGCTCGTCCCACAATAACTCGATCGGATTGAAGTCTGGGGATTACAGTAGCCAATCCATTACTTCGAGTTTACACTCTTCTTTTAACTTGTTCAAATACTCTTTATAGATTTTTGAGGAATGTTTTGGATTGTTGTCGTGTTGAAAAAGAAATTTTTAGTCTAAAATGCGAAACCCAGATCGCAACATTTGCTGTTGTAGAATTTCCAAGTTTATTTTCTGTTCATTTTTTATTATTCACTTAATTCTGTAAATATTACCCACCGACAGTCCATCAAAACACCTCCAGACCATTATAGAGCCTCCACCGTGTTTCACAGATAACACCAAACATTGCTCGGAAACTCACTTCCCTGCTGACCTGCGAACAAAGACACGGCGCCGGTTACCAAAAACTTCAAATTTTGATTTATCACTCCATAAGACATTTTTCCAGTTTTCAATTGTCCAATCCTTGTATTTTTCGGCCCATTTGAACCTTTTTGCTTCATTAATCTTCCTCAAAAGTGGTTTCTTTTAACCGCAATTCTTCTATGAAGATCTGCTCCTGCAAGACGACGTTTTACAGTGGTGATACTAATAAGAGTATCCCGGTATAAGTTAATCCTACAGTCGTCACGCTACTTTTCGAACACGAGTCGACGCGTGGGATCTTGAGAGACCCTAATATAAAAAATTATTTTATATCTTTTATATTGAGAACTTAAATATTTTCTTTGTTTAATTAGGTTTTTGGGTTCATGTAAAATATAAGAAAAGACTATTTTAAATATAATATTCTTTTAAATATAATATTCTTTTAAAGACCCTATGCGACAACTGTAAGGTTAACGCGCGAAGTGATTTCCGATGCAATTAAACGCCTGTTACGTTTGGAGCAAACCACCAAATGTCAATCCTCATTTTGTGATACGCGGTCTTCCAGACCGTTTCTTGTTCGATAATGTTTCACCACTTTTAAATTTACGAACATGATAATCAACAATTCATCGTGGTAATTTTATTTCTCGAGCAATTTAGCGATTGCTCATGTCATTTTGATGTTTCGCAGTAATTAATGCACGGATTTCAAGCGAAAATTCTACCTTTTTAGGCATAATTAATTATACTGCTGGCAAAACACCGTTCACCGTCAAGAGAGAAAATAGCACTGAGACTGAGAAACTTGGAAGTACAAAAACGATAATTTTGCACATTAAAGTAAACAAACAAATGAATTGAAAAACATTGAAAAATGCACAGCTCATAAACGGATTGTTATAGGAGATTAAACTTGTAAACAACACATATTACGATGTCAGCAAAACAAACACTTTCGTATAATTAAATAGATTTACAATAAAATAAGCAAAATGATTAATTCAAAATGATTAAATGATAAATGATTAAAAGATTATACAATATATTATTTTGTCTTTATTTACAATTAAAAATTATTTACTGGACTTTGCTGTATTAAATTTTTGCTAAATAAGAAAATAATGAAATGGGCAAATATTTATAGACGGTAGTGTACATACTATACGTGTTTGCTCCACTTATAAGGCACCTGACAGAACTGTCCACCGATTTTGATACGCTTTGGATACGTTGTAGAGCATCAAAAAATAAGGTACCTATATTTTTTTATATCGGCTTATCTTGAAGTTTAGGGCTTAAAACAGCTCCTTGAAAAAAAATGAACTTTTTCATTTTTATGGAATAATTCCTAAGAGATATGAGATATATAAAAAAATATTTTCTACAAAAGTTTTACAGTATTTAATGCTCTTTGCAACGGCATATTTCGTTTTTTTATGTCAAATTTTTTACTTCCCCCATCCCCCTTCACTTGTTACCTTTGCAAAATTATTAAATTTTTTTAAAGACAAAGATTGTAAAGCATTTAATACTATATCCATCCATATATAATAGTAAAAGTTGGTCTCGCTTTAATCGTTGAAAAACGTGATAACATCGTGCTATAAGTGCCACACTGTCCAAGTAGGTGGATACTTTAGATGAATATGTTACTGTAGGTAGGGGAATATAATGAATTATAGAAAAATTTTATTTATTGCAATACTATGTACCTATAGCTAAATTACTAATTATATGTATAATATTTCAATAAAAAACACACTCATTTTATTTTAGAGAATACTGTCAGAATCGCAAGAATAGCAAGTCTAAACAACGCTGATGACTAAATCTTTTTCCGCGACACGAAATTTAACCTCCACTTTTGGTAATTAGATCCGAGCTGATCATATTCTCCAGCGCCTCTTTTTTGCATTCGTTTTGCCTTAACATTCATCTTTATTACACGTAGACAGATACGCCGCGGACACTCCGTAGCGAAGCTCGCGAAAATAACGTCGACCA